GGGCATCGAGTCTATTCCGACTCACATGCCCAACAGAACCCACGGTGGGTGTGCTGGTGCCGTTTGCCGCACCGCCGTGTCCAGCCAGCTTGTCATCTTCTTCCCCTCAGCCCTCCCTTGACGAAGGGCGAGGTCTTTTTACAGAGACTGACCCCTCCCGACAGCCCTTCCAAAGTACGTGAGGGGATCAAATCTTGAGTTACAACCTTGAAGGAGTCTATAGGCAAAATCACGAATGACAAAGAAAGCCGTGTGGAAGGAAGACGCGGTGACAGTTCCCCAAAGCCCGGGTTGCCGTTCATCCATCTCAGAAAGCAACCTGATCCCAACCTGATGGTACTGAAGGAAGAAGTCCACGCTGCCCTGAAGGCATTTGTGGAAAACAAGACCCTAGGAATTGACAGGATGCCAAGTGAAATGTTCAAACAAATGGATGCAGGGCTGGAGGTGTGCGCTTGTCTGAGCAAACCAACAAAGAAATAAGACATTGGAAAGCAGTTACCTGAGCAGATGACTGGCAGAGATCCACTGCAAAGAACGAAGATGTGGTAATTTCCACCAAACCATGTCCTTAACTTTATATGCAAGTAGAAATTTGCTGCTGAAGACAATTCAAAAATGGTTGCAATATTGCATTGTGTGAGTCTAGGTGGACTAGAGAAACAAATTCATCGACACTCATATGTGTATAGGAAAGAGCTTTATATAAACAGTAATTGTACACTAAGAAAACACCCCAGCCCAGTCCAGATCAAGTCCATACGTCTGATATAAGCCCATATGTCCAGTACCAGTCTGTAAATTCCTCTTCAGACTCACACAACACATGAAATGACTCCGAGTGCAGGAAGATCACAGGCCAGTGGGTGGAAAGTCTTGTGGATCCAGTGGCGGTGGAAGCATCTCAGCGCTGGCGTGAGTCTCCATGTAGTTCCTCCAGCTCCAAGGCTCTGGCTCCATCAGCCTGTCTCCATGCGGCTTGTCAACAGGAATGTCTCCCGGGGAGTGAGTGTGTGCCCCGCCTCCAGAGAACTATGTGTATAGGAAAGAGCTTTATATAAACAGTAATTGTACACTACTGTGTACAAATGAGGTCATCAAGCTGCGACCTGATTGACAGGCTAAACTCCACCCCTTCACTCTTAATAGTCTCAAGTTGACGACAGATTATGTAGCTACCACGTGCACTGACAGAAATTCCAGCTAGATTCAGAAGGGAGCAGGCAGTGTATCGTTGCTGATGTCAGATAGATTTTGGCTCAACACAGAGACTGGTACTGACGATGCGGAGGCATTTGACTTTACGGCCTAACACTGTGAAGGATGGGGATTCCAGAACGTTTCATTGTGCTCACGTGGATCCTGTACATCGACCAAGAGGCAGGTGTTGAACAGAACAGGGCGTTACTGCGTGGTTGACAATTGGGGGAAAGCATCAGGAGTGGAGGAAGGCTTGTTCACAACCTGTACCATGCAGGTGACACCAGCTTGCTTCTGGAAGGCAATGAGGGCTTGAAGCACTTACTCATGAAGACCAAAGACGACAGCCATCAATGGTGAAAAGACAGAATGCCTCACAGCGGGCCCGGGAAGCCAGATCCTGATTAATGCAGAAAACGGCACAGCCGTCAAGAAATTCATTTTACTTAGATCCACAATCTTCACTGACAGAAGCAGCAGTCAGGAAATCCAACGACAGGCTTCAGTGGGCAAATCTCCTGGCAAAAACCGCGTTCACGTGTTTAAAAAGCACCTGTTTGGGTGTCACTTTGAAAACGAAGGTGCACCGGACACAGCGAGAATGTTTTCCATCGCTTTATATGCACGCACAATCTGGACACTGGTTCGGAAAGACTGGAGGAGAATTGACGCCTTTGAATTATGGCGATGGCAAAGACATGGCGTAGACAGTGGGCTCTCAGAGGCACAGCCAACTCTGTCTTAGAGGGCATGGAGACGGAATGAAAAGATGGCATCTCCTTGCCTTGACACACGTTACCAGGAGGGACCAGTCCCTGGAGAAGGGCATCGTGCTTAGGAAAGCAGAGGTCCAGTGGTAAAGAGGGAAGACCCCGGTGAGATGGAGGGACAGCGTGGCTGCCACAGCGGGCTTAAACATAGCCGCCATTAACAGCGTTCTGTTTCCTGGTGCACGGGGTCACTAGGAGCCTGGACCAACCTGAGGGCGCCTAACAATGCAGACCTAGCAGAACTGCCCCCGCGCAGCATGATGCCCTCAGGCCCCCTGCTGAGGGCTCTCCGGAGAGGGGACTGGCTTCCCTCTGCCAGATCTCCTAGCTGCTCACCCGTGACTTCACAGCGTGGGCCTGGGGTCCGCAGCCGCAGGCAATCCTGAGGACTCGCTCTAAATACAAGTTCTCAGGTATCCGAGCTTCAGTGGTGAGCATCCATTTGCAGCAGGCTGCGGAGGACAGCGAGGGCCCCAGATCCATTTGCAGGGTCCCCACCTGGATTAAGCCTTTGGTAAATCTCCTCTGAGCACAGCTGGGCCTTGCCAATAGCCTTGCCAGCAGACAAAGTGGTGTAAAGTGGATGGCGTGATTAGATTAAAATGGAAATGATCATTTGCTCTCCCTTTTGACCCATTTTAAATCTGTTTTAGTTTAATATGTCTTGCTTTTTTTCCTCGATTAAGGTTTTTTTCTCTGAGAGTTTTTTTAAATATCGTTGATTTTTTTTTATTTAATTTTTGCTGTTTTGTTTGTTTATTGTCCCAGGGTAGGAAACCCAGGGTAGGTGAACGTATTGAGACAGTAACTGTGTTAATGGTTTATTGGCAATACAGGGGGAAGGTGGGAGGGAAATGGGGGAGCTGACCATGAGGATAAGCCGGAAGAAACTGCTGTAGACCTGATTGTAGCTATGACTGTACTGTCCACCTGTTTTTTAATATGACTGAACTAAGGAAGTGTGCAGTATGTGAATGATAGCTCAATAGAACTATTTTTTAAACTAGAAAATAAAATCTAGACAGGTTATGAGATCCATCCAACCCCGACTCCCGTGGTAACTCTGGATACGACCCAGTCAATCTGAACCACCACAGGCCCACCACGAAGGTTTGAGACCTCTGCTTAACATCGTCTCCCATCTCTAGAACTGCCTTGAAAAAATGAAAAAAAGTCAAGATGTGAGAAGAACATGCAATATAATGAGCAATTTCAAGTGCCCTGCCTCCCAGCTACTCCCACCTCCACGCATGGCTCAAAACCGGTTGCCACCCGCCTCCCCACATTCAATGTCTTTGAAGCGAGCCAAACCGCACTTACTTCCATTGGTTGTGTTTCTTCTATGCACATCTATGGTTAGCAATGTGTCCTGTGTCCACTGCTGTGGCACGGCGTTTGCTGATGTGGGTGCATATGACCGCTGCCTTAGTGACTCACTCCACCATGCTTGAGTGACCTCAGTCTCACTTAATGCATCACATGACCACTGTCTGGCCACTGTCCCTCAGGTGAAGGTTTCAGCCGTCTCCTGAGGGGCTGAGGCGCCGCGATGTTAGTGACCATTCAGAGCCTGTTCTGAGACAAATTTGAGGCCCGTCCATTTTCCAGGGGAATCCTATGAGGACTGATAGGAAGCAGTCATCTAAAAAGTGGATGTTGAACCCTAATCCTAACCCTAACCCTAACCCTAACTCTAAACCTAACCCTAACCCTAAATCTAACCCTAAACTTAATCCTAACCCTAACCCTAACCCTGTCTAACCCTAAACCTAACCCTAACCCTAAGTCTAACCATAAACCTAACCCTAA